TTTTTTTTTTTATGTACAACAATCCACATTTATTCATGTCCAACAATATGGTGATCAGGGCAATCAAGTGTGCCGTACCTTTCCAAGAGCAATTTGCTAACCAATCGCTTGCCAGGATGAGTGAAGCGCAATTTCACTATCGAATTCTCACAGGCGGAGTGCATTTGGTATCACTCCGCCTGTGACAGGAGCCAGCTCTATAGAGGAGGCATCGGCTTATGTTGCTCTGCTCCCTCCGGTGCTGCCTCGCTTCCTCTAGCGCTGGCTTTGTTGGCACCGCTGATTCTCTCCCGCCTCTTCAAGTTCCCCCTTGTGCCACCACTGGCCCTGGGAATGGTCACAACTAGGTCTTATTTTCGGGGTAGGTCTTATATTTTAACAATTCCCAAAAATAGCACTAGGTCTTATTTTCGGGGTAGGTCTTATTTTCGGGGAAACAGGGTAGCTGCAGACCCTCTTTTTATTTTGTTTGGTAGAAGTGTTTTTTCAAAAGATATGGAGTGTGTTTGGCTTGTGTTTTAAAATAACAGTGTTCAGGGCAATGCAGATGAAGTTGTCATTGTTTATTTGGGAGCCCTGCAATTTCGTGCCTTGTTCATTTGGGAGCCACTCTCCACAAAATAACAAAGGACTGTGACTACAGCATTTGCCGCAAAAGGCCACCTAGTCCCTAGTTGTTTTTTTGTTGTTGTTTACTTATGATTTTCATTTTTCATAACATACTCTGTACATCTGTTAAATTTTGACCTACCTTAGAATACCATTCATCTATGACCACTTGTTTGCATGTTTGTGTATGTAATGAAGTGTAAGTAATCTTTATTTACTTTTCTTTTTTGATTTAGCCTTCTGACTCAGAATGTTGGATTACTCTTTGTTGGAAGATATGAGCGCCCTTTTTCACAATTAAAGGTACGGTCTTCTGTTCCTTTTAAGAATGTCTATTGGTCTTGTCAAAAGGCATACAATATTTTTTAACAACTTTACTTTTTTAAAAATCAGAGTAACTTAAAAGTGAATACTTTGTGTATAGTTTTTTGTGGCTATATTTCAGAGTTCATATGAAACAAAAATTAAGGGCTGAAAGCATGCCAATGAAGACTGTTGGAATAATTATTCTCCCATATATTTGGGAATATAGCGGGCAAATGACAGTTCAGTACCACCACTATAGTAGGGATGCAGTAATGGGGATGACACCCTACTAGATTGATTGCTGTTTCAGAAATGCAAAGGCCGTTTCGGAAAGAGCAGATATGTCTTTACCACTCAAATAGATTGATGAGTAAAGGAACGGAGAGCTATCGGCGAGAGTGACTGCCAGGTATCATGTAATTAGGGCCATAGATTACAAGTGGGAAAGATGATGACATACCGTATAGCTGTATCTCCTTGTTCTTACCTCTGATGGCTTGTGCAGAGCTCCCACTTTCTCAGTTCTGTTATTGAATGCTACAGCAAAATATAAAACCCATAGTTCGTTTTTTTTCTATATTGCAAATTGACTCTTTCCACAGTCCCCATAGACAGTTGAAGTATCTTGCTCCAATGTTTAAAGGACAAAAAAAAAATCAAATACAGGTATAATTTCCTTAAATTGCTTTTCCCAAACAGCAACTCTAGTCTGCACGTGCTATTTTCTTCTGCAGTATAACCTTGAAGTCACTGTGCTAGATTCTGCACTTGATCACACAGGTCATCTGGCTTCTAACCGAGCCGTATGTTTTCACTTTGCAACAGCTGCTGTTTTTCTTTAGGGATCTCCTATTTATTAAAGTACATTTATACCATTATGACATTGCCTTGTAATCATGCTAATATGAAATATTTTTAAGAAGTGAGCTCTGGTTTTTCATATGTATTTTAAGGTGCTGTTGCATCTTCTGAGTATTTTTTTGCCCCTGTTTTTAACTTCTACATATGATACATTGTGACATATTTAAAACAGTTTGGTTTAAGAGAAATGGTAGATGAACAAGTGAAGTGAATTTTAGATATTGTCAGAAAATACACTAGAATGGACATATGGGTTAGAGCGGGTGAGGATTATAACCACTGTCAGTTTTTGCAGCCTTTGTCACCTTTGAGGAGATTTCTTCTCCTCCTAGTGAATGGTTTTACCAGAAAAAGATGTAGATATCTTCCCAAGACACAGACATCTATAAACACCTGAAATAGGTTCTAACCATTCTGCCTTCTATAGAAAACCAAAAGTTTAAAAAAAATTCTACTTTAAGGCTACAATTACATGCCATTGTGGTGCTTTGAGGCATGCACATTAATATGAAGTATTCCATGTTCATTTAGGATAGGTTGCAAAGCCTCCAAATTCTCCAGGCCCAACATGGTTTAATCGAAGTGTGGCATGAATTAGATCTCCTTCAATCTCCTGGGCAGCATTATGCCCTATCCCATGGTCTGATCACTATTTAGCCTCCCTAACACTAATAAATCTCCTACAGAGGGCCCCAGGCTTTCCCTGGATCATTATTGACTTTCTTCCGAGTGATCTCTCTTTTTTTTTTTTTTACCTTCTTTTAAATGTGGCCCTCCAAGCCACCTTTTAGGTTGATATTTAGTCTGCAAATGGTTTTGGTGTCTTCTACTGTATCCCTCTGGTGGACTAAGGCTTTTTTGTATCTCCCACTCTACCGGGCCGGACGTCCCTGTCTTACATAGTTAGGTTGAAAAAAGATACACGTTCATTGAGTTCAACTTATAGAGATACAGAGAAAAAAAAATAATAAAAAGAGAAGAAAAGCCTAAACAGAACGCTATGCCCACAGCCACCCCCTGTTGATCCAGAGGAAGGCAAAAAAAAAAAAAACCCCTATAAAGCATGGTTCAATTTTCTCCAACAGGGGATAAAAATTCCTTCCTGATTCAATAAGGCAATCGGATATTCCCTGGATCAACAATCTCTGATACTTAATATACCTCTAAGAACTCAATATACCTCTAAGAACTCAATATCCAGTAATATTCTGTGAATTTAAGAATACATCCAGATGTTTTTGAAACAATTAACTGAGCTAGCTAGTGTGGAGTCCGTTCCACATTTTCACAGCTCTTAGGCCTGGTTCACACCTGGGCGTTTTACAGCCCGTTCCTACGCTCTGTAAAACGCTCAACATGTGAAAACCAATGATTGCCTATGGGCATGGTTCCCACCTGGGCGTTTTACAGCGCGTAGGAACGCGCTGCAAAACGCCCTACGCCCAAAGAAGTACAGGAGCTTCTTTGGAGAGCGTATCTATTGGGATACAGCCAGGTAGCCCTCGGAAACGCGCGTTTGTCGCACAGGTTTTTTTTACCACGAATTGCTGTAAAAAGTGCGACAAACGCGCATATTCGATACGCCTAGGTGTGAACCCAGCCTAACTGTGAAGAATCATTTCCGTATGCAAAGGTTAAACCTCTTTTCCTCCAGACACAAAGAGTGCCCCCTTGTCCTTTGCAGTGACCTTAACGTGAATAATATGGCACCAAGTTCTTTATATGGACCATTTATGTATGTATACATTGTGATCATGTCCCTCCTTAATCGTCTATGGCCAACTCTCAAGGCAAGGTGCCTTTGGACCCTTTTTTTTCCTGCTCTTCTACTTATTTTTTTTTATTTCTTGCCACCTCTTTACTTGCTCATTTCCCTTGTCTTCCTCTCCTTCTGAAGCTCCTGTTCCCCTTTTATGTTTGCTTTGGTTTTCCCTTCTGTTACATCTTTGTTATTTTTAACAAAGATACAGCATATCTTTGTTTATTATTTTAATGCTTGCAAGTATTTTAATGTTCATTGTTTTGTGCAGAGCAAAAATAAAGAATTTATATGGCCCTGCAAAAGTACTTTGCCCTAAACACAGACAGTATTACATCCCAACTCACAGTTTAGGAAGCTCCTAAAGCATTGGATTTGGGCCACTTTATTCAACTCTCATCGCAAAGGAAGAAAATGAGAACTGAACAAATAGCTTAGCTCACGGCAGAATACCAAACTCTCTCAACCCAATTCAAGCAATCCTTAAACACAAATTACTGCTAAAGAAAGTTCCTGCTAAGAAACACTTGTGTCATCCGGGTAATGCAAGAAACACTTGTGTCACCAAACTATACAATAATATACAAAAAATATATAAAATTATTATTATTACCAATACCTATATAAAGGATAATACTCCATAAAGACAAACACAACATACAATCTTTTTAAAACAATTAAATAAAAATCTATCCACAGAGACCATGGGCATATAATAGTTTACATCACTAGTGTGCCCTCATAAGATATATCAAAAGATTTTACTCCCAATAATGGCTGATTTGAGTAGTGGGCAAAAAAAATTCAAATTGAATAGTAGTGCATATGATCAATGCGCATTTATCTCGTGTGTATACTCATATTTCACATCCACCACAAATATATAGTTTTTTTTAATATTCCATAAAGGGACAATTAAAATCCATGAAGACAGGACTCCAGTAAAAAAAAAAAAAGTTGATCTGCAATATTTCCATGTAGAACAGCTCTGGCAAGGAATTCATGGTGGTATGGAGACACATAACAGTATTGCACAGTATGCACATAAATATGCGCCAAACAACCTCAGTTCCACTACAGCACATTTCACAGCTAATGCTGATTAAACAGTTCACCTAGACACAATACCATGTGTCCTGGGAGGCGTATGCATCCACTCTCCCGTTGCATGGATCATTAGAACAAACTAAAGGTGCGACAGTGCATAAAGGTGTGTATAGTAGAGTATATAACCGAGGTATGCCTTGTCTTCATCAGCTTGTTCCCCAGCAAGTCCATAGCGCGCCTCTTATAAAGAGGATTTCCAAGCGCTAAGGTGCTTCTAGGTCCTGTGGTATAGTTTACTCCCCATATTTCTTAACGCGTTTCATCCCAACATACAGGGAATTCCTTTAGGAGGAATCCTTAAACACAACACTTTAGACACAGCTCAACAATGTTAGATGGCACCCTATTCCCTAATATTTTATTTCACATATTCTGTTAAAATCAAAAGCAAAGTCTGATTTTCATTGAATATGGAATAAACAACAATGTTAGCAGAATACTTTATCCCTGGCGGTCATATACAAATTTGTCCCTACCTGTATGTCCCACATGATTTTAAAAGCTGGAAAAGAGCAATTTAAAGGAACATGTCAGTATAGAAATGTGGGAGCTATCATAGCTGACTTGTTTTCGAATGTGTGTTCCAGATTTCTAGGACAAGCATGCGCACATCAGATGTTAGGACACTTGATATGTGCATGCTTCTTCTGGATCATTGACTCACTAAGTAGTGAAGGAAAGATGAGAATAATAGTCCTAAAGGGTTATTCACGAAGGTTTCAGCCGTAGCTTCGGCTGATCCTTCAGCTCTCTGGACGCCGGTGCCCTTCGGTTCAGTCGAAACGAAGAACTGCTGTATAGGCTATTCACTATAAAACACTGTGGGAAGAATGTTTTGAATTGTGTGGACTGGTTTATAAACAAAGCGGGTCTTTATATACTGTTCCCAATCACTTAAGCCCGATTCAAAAATTTTAAAAGGGCATACTTGGGCATTTTTAATTGCGTTTTTTCGTGATGATCAGCCCACATTTAAAGCTACATGGAATTCACGCTGATCAGTGCGGAAAAATAGCTCAGAGAACATTTTGGAGCGGCAGGCATTTCAGATTGCGCGGAGGCGCGCGATCGCATGAACGGGCCCCATAGGAATGTATGGGGTTGTTCATGTCGGCAGTTGGTGTGAACGGGGCCTTAGATTAGTTCTGATATAGAGTGGAACTTTATTTTTTATTAGTTTGGTTTGTTAATGAAGCGCTGCACTATTTTGTTTTTATAGTTGGTATTATTGTGTGGAACAGATATATATCCCTAATATATGCTGTATATT